TTTAAGGCATGTGGACTTCAACTCCCAGAATTCCACAGCCAGCAATGCTGGCTGTGGAATTCTGGGAGTTGAAGTCCACATGCCTTAAAATTGTCAAGGTTGAGAAACACTGTATGTAAACCCAGAGTCTCACAACTTTGGCAACTTTAAGACTTGTGGACTTCAACTCCCAGAATTCCCCAGCCAGCTGGAGAATTCTGGGAGTTGAAGTCTACAAGTCTTAAAGTTACCAAAATTGGAGAGCCCTGTTATGAAACATAGCCTCTGTTTACAAAGAGGCCGGAAAAAAGTATGGGTAAGGAAGTAAAAAGAATTAAATAATAAATCATGACTGCTTTGTCACTTACCTTTTCTCACTTGGAATTCAGAGTCAAGGACCCTTCAAAAAACTGATGCAATATTGCAGCAGTTGGAATTTATTCTTATTTACAGTTTCTCAGGTTTTGTAGAGAAACACAAAGATGACCTTGGAGGAAATATGCAGATATTTTTTTTATCAAAATATGAATACAGTCTGGAAAAACATGACAGTGGGTGGGAGCAAGAAGCCTTAAGTGGCTTTGCCTAGACCCTTTTTAATATAACAGAAGGAAGGGAATTTCAAGATTTTGTTAATATTAATCTGTACAGGCACCAGTAAAATTTCTAATATAGGCACTTCTTGACTTACGAGTACAATTGAGCTCAAAATTTCTGTTGCTAAGGAGACATTTGTTAAGTGAGTTTTGCCCCATTTTACAACCTTCCTTGCAACATTTGTTAAGTGAGTCGCTACAGTTATTAAGTCAGCAACATAGTTAAGTGAATCTGGCTTTCACATTGACTTTACTTATCAGAAAGTTGCAAAAGATGTTCCCATGACACTGGAACAATCATAAATATGAGTCAGTCACCAAGCATCTAAATTTTAATCACATGACCATGGAGATGCTGCAACGTTCGTAAAGGTGAAAAATGGTCATAAGTCACCTTTTTCAATGCCTTTGTAGCAGAGAGAGAGGGAGGGAGGGAGGGAGGGAGGGAGAGAGAGAGAGAGAGAGAGAGAGAGAGAGAGAGAGAGAGAGGTGTCATGGAAAAACCCAATGAAAAAGACAAGAGACAGCAACACAATAACAATAATTCTTACTCTAGGATTCAGAGGTTTATTTTGCTAATGATTTGGAACATAGCAAGCATAATAACACATCATCACGTATATCAATAACCCAATAACCCATTGCAATGAGGACCATATGACATAGCAGAATCCAATAGGATAGCTATAGGCCAATGGCAAATCAATCAGGTCCAGTCCCAACCTTTTATACCCTTTCTCGTTCTAAGACTGTCGTCAGACGGTCAGCTGACTTTTGCTGACTTCTGACCTTTTACTGACTTCCTGCTGACCTGCTTTCCATATATACCTGTGTACATTGGAACTTGCATCCATCAGCTACTTTTCAGTTCCCTATTTCTCCCACAGTTACAATACTCATGTTCCAAATATACATAGAACTATCTACTTTGCAATTTCATATTGCACAAAGCTCAGCAGATTACAAATAGTACGTTCGTATTGTGAAACAGCATAAAGTTCAAATCACTTCTGTGGGGGCCTATTTCAGGTTTGTTCTAGCCTCATCTTGTTATATGAGGAGGGGGCTATATTTTCATCTCCCACAGAGGAAAACAATGGAAGATTATCAAGGAGAAATCCAACCTACAATTAAGGAGAAATATCCTGACAGTGAGAACAATTAATTGGTGGTATGGCTTTTCTTCAGAAGTTGTGGGTGTTCCATCACTGGAGGTTTTCAAGAAGAAATTGGACAATCATTTGTCCAGAATAGTGTAGAGTCTCCTGTTTGAGCAGGAGGTTGGACTAGAAGACCTCCAAGGTCCCTTCCAACTCTGTTATTCTGTTATTCTGTTTCTTAAAAAGTTGACATTTGGCCCAAAAAGTTATCCTGTTTGAGAATCTTCTACCTGAGTACTTATGAGTACCTGAGGCATACAATCTCATAAGCATTTCTCCCCCTTAGCTGCAGAATATAACAAAATATGTTATAAAGCTAAGCATTTCTGCTCTTTCATATCATCTAAATTCTATGCAACTGTTTCATTCAGACTAATGATCAGATCAGCCTGTCTTACACACTAATCTCTGTGTATGCTTCAGCTCAGCGGCAGAGAATGTGTTTGCCTAGAGAAGATCAGAGGAAACCTTGGAGAGACATTTTAATGATTTGGCAGTAAATGAACCAAGGATTGGACTGGATCAAGGGGTGTGGGTGGTAAGCCTATCATGAGGCAGAGTTCAAATTAATTCTCCCAGATCACTTATGTCCTATAGATTGACCAAGATAATTGGTGGAAATACTGTATATTCTTCCTATCTAGTGAGTAGAACAGAGATAAAGTTCTAGGTTAGCCCCACAAAAATAGGATTTTCCACATTCTCATAATAAGGTATGATCAATGAATCAGTAAATAGCCAAACAAACAAAATTAAAGCTTAGCATGCTATGTGGATGCAGCAGCTAGGTCCTTAATGGATTGGGTTAAGTATTTATTAATTTATATCCCATCTTTATTATTTTTACAAATAATTTTCAATATATCCAACATAACTCCCTTCTATTTTCCCCACAACAATAATCCTGCGAGGAGGGTTGGGCTAAAAGAGAATGACTAGTCCAAGGTCACCCAGCTGGCTCTTGTAGCTAAAGGAGAACTTGAACCCATAGTCTCCTGCTTTCTAACCTGGTGCCTTAACCACTAGACCAGTGGTGGCGAGCCTATGGCACGCGTGCCAGAGGCGGCACTCAGAACCCTCTCTGTGGGCACACATGCCATGCCCCGGAGATGGCAACCGTCCCTCTTCAACTAGCCGCCCACTAACTCGCCGAGGTCCCACAGGGCCGGATGCATCCCAGCACCCATGCACTCACTGGCCTCTGTGTGCAGAGGTCGATGGTGTTAGGCAGCAGCCACCCCTGCCCCTGCCACACCTTGCCCTGTGACAATGGCATCCCCACCCTGCCTCGCCTTGCCTCATCTCACCCCGCAGGACGAGCCTCCTGCCCACTGCCCCACCTGCCAGAGACCCCCTGTATCTCCTCCAACCCTGCCCGGCCCCCACAGGCATCCCTCCCCATGAGCAATATCGAGGTGATCATGCCCACCTTGGCCACACCCACCCAATCTGCCATGACCACCATAGCCACACCCACCCAGTGGCCCACGCCCACTTGGCACCCAGTGATAAATAAGTTGCAGTTTGGGCACTCAGTCTCTAAAAGGTTCGCCATCACTGCACTAGACCAAACGGGCTGTGGTTTTGTGCAAATATAGCCAGCCAGTTCCATCAATATACATAATCTGTTTTCTTTTCTAATGGTTCCGGTAGCACACAATAACCCTAATTGAATTACAAAAATCATCATTGAGGGATATTTTAGAACAAAGGAACCAAAATAAAACTCCCGCTTGGCATTGCTAAAATCTAAGATGTGTCATTAGAAGTCCAATTGAATCCAGTTAAGTTCTGTCCTCACCCTGTTTCTAAATGGGGCTCCAACCTTACAGATCAACAGCCTTACAAGTCAACAACGTCAACCCCCAAAGTCAAAAAGCTTACTTAGCTCAGTGCAAGCCATGATTGATATCTGAACTCAGCCAGCTCAAATAGAAACTATCAGTGGCAGAATTCAGTAGCTTTGGATTCCTGGTTTATAGGAACACCACCCCCAAATAGGGTCATGTTCTTCATTCTTCCATCACTATCCCTCTCCTTCCTTCTGCCCAGTTATCTCTGATAAACAACAGTGCTAGGGGAACTTGTGTATGTTTATGCTTAAATTTATGGGCTGGGATTTTTTTTTGGCTATAAACAGCTTTCAAAGTGGTTATGATAAAATCATAAAGAATTACAACATCACAAAAGCAGTTACTAGGAACATAATGAGACTGGCAAAATTTCTGAACCTAATTTTGGGAGGGGAAAAGACACAAGAGATCTAGGTTCCAGGGGGGGAAAAAACCCTAAATAGTAACAAATTCTGTCTAGTAAATCAGCAAAATGTGGGAGAAGATTCCATTCTTGACATCAGTTTGGCCTTTACTGGCAGAGATGGAGCTATTGGAAGATCCTTGACCAGCTGTTTACATCTCTGCCTTGCTACTGTCCTCTGGCTGGCTCAGTTCCTGGATTTCTACGTTGTGTTATTGGTTAATTGAAGCAGCCTTCCCCAGCCTAGTATTGCTGACCAGATATGTTGGACTACAACTTTCATAATTCCTAGCCGCTCTTTTGGGGAGGGGGCAATTTGGGAGAGTCCTTTCCTGTGTAAGGATACCCTCAACCCACTTTTGTCTTCAACTTACAACATTTCATTTAGTGACTGTTCAAGGGTCACTACAACAGCACTGAAACCAGTGACTTACGACCGTTTTTGACACTTACGACTGTTGCAGCATCCCCATGGTCACGTGATCAAAATTCAGATGCTTGGCAACTGGCATGCATTTATGACGGTTGCACTGTCCTAGGAGTGATGTGACCATCTTTTGTGACCGTCTGACAAGCAAGTCAAATGGGGAATCCAGTTTCACTTGACAACTATGATACTAACTTAACTGCAATGATTCACTTAATAGCTGTGGTAAGAAAGATCATAAAATGGGGCAAAATTCACTTAACAACTGTCCCTCTTAACAACATAAATTTTGGTCTCAATTGTGGTCATAACTGTGGTTAGAATTTTGCACCTGTTGGAAAGCAAGCCGATTCATTCACCACTCAGCTCCACTCTAGTTGAAATAGCTAGATTTGGCGGGTAGGGGTTTACATGCAAAGCCTTATGTACTATAGGATTTTTAAATTTAAATAACGGTGCTTGGATAAGGAGTAAGGTTGGTAAGTTGTAGTTTATATCTGGGAGTTGAAGTCCACATATTTTAAAGATGCCAAGATTAAGAAACATTGTCCTGACCAAATATTTTATATTTGCTTCCACAAGGATCAAGACCACTGAGGAACTAAAGGATCTGATTCTAAAGATGCTGGAAAAGAACCCTGAATTAAGGATAACTGTTCCTGAAATTAAAGTAAGCAATTATGAACTTCAGTGGATTGTTGAAAATGTTGCTTTTTCTAAGCTGTTCCATATCACAGTAATTGAATAGATGGGTTAGATCTTATTTAGCATTTTTATCAGTTATGTGCTGCTACACTAGCTTTCCCCAACCGGGTGTCGTCAAGATGTGCTAGCCCAGGGGTCTTCAAACTTGGTCCTTTTATGACTTGTGGACTTCAACTCCCAGAATTCCTCAGCCAGGCACATGCCTGGCTGAGGAATTCTGGGAGTTGAAGTCCACAAGTCATAAAAAGACCAAGTTTGAAGACCCCTGGACTAGCCTATAATTTCCTAGGCTAGAATAACTTCCAAAATTTCCAGCCACTGAGAATTTTAGGAGCTGTAGTTCAATACATCTAGAGAATATTGGGGAACAGCATATTAAACTTTAAAATGTAAGGGTTTATATAGTAACTCTACATGTCTTTGTGCTGCAAAAAGCAATGGCACATAGCATCCACATATAAGTAATCCTCGACTTATGACAACAATTGAGCCCTAAATTTCTGGGGCTAAGCAAGAGTTGAGTGAGTTTTGCCCCATTTTATGACCTTTCTTGCCACAATTATTAAATGAATTTGTGCAGTTGTTTAGTAACATGGTTGTGAACTGAATCTGGCCTCCTCCTTGACTTGGCTTGTCAGAAGGTTGCAAAAGGTGATCACACAACCCTGGGACACTGCAGCCGTCATAAATTTGAACCAGTTATCAAAAATCTGAATTTTGATCACGTGGGGGATGCTGCAACGGTCCTAAGTTTGAAAAACGGTCCTTAGTCACTTTTTTCTCTTTTTTTCTTTTTTTAAAAAATTTATTAAGTACAAAAGGAAAAAAGAAATTAAAAAACATTGAACGTAGTTGGCGACAACTTATAAGGAAAATCTTTATAAGATGTTTTATAGATGGCTAGACTCGCAAAAATGTATAGTGGTTACTCACCACTCTGCTGGAAGTGCAAAAGGGAAAAGGGTACTTTTTTCCGCGTTTGGTGGGCTTGTAAAGAAGTACAGGTTTATTGGCTTAGGGCAATGGTGGCGAATCTATGGCACGGGTGCCAGAGGCGGCACTCACAGCCCTCTCTGTGGGCACGTGCTCCATCGCCCCAGTCCTAGGCCTTCAGCTGGGTTTTATAAAACCTTTTCACTTTAGGCCTCCGCCGCCGTGTACAAAAAAAAAGGTTCAATCAATCAGTCAATTTCAACTTCTCGCGGGAAAAAAAAGATCTTGCAAAGTTGGAATTGATTGATTGAACTTTTTAGTCCCACCCAGTCTGCTGTTACCACCGCAGCCATGCCCACCCAATGGGCCACACCCACCCAATGGGCCACGCCCACCCAATGGGCCACACCCACCCGGCACCCGACGATGCATAAGTGGTTTTTGGGTTGCAGTTTGGGCACTCGGTCTCTAAAAGGTTCGCCATTACTGGCTTAGAGCTTAGAAATGGATAACAGAAATGATGGGTCAAAAAAATCCAATATAAACCAGAGATGCTACTACTAGGAATATTAGAAAAAAATATAAACAAAGATGATATATATTTAATTATACATGTGATAACGGTGGCAAGAATTTCGTTTGCCCAAAATTGGAAAGTAACTGAAGTGCCTAGCGGAGATGCGCTAATAAGAAAAATTTTGTATTGCGCAGAATTGGATAAGATGTCTAAAGAATTAAAAAACCAGGAGGAAACAGAATACTACCTAATTTGGAATAAATTTTACAAATGGAGGGAAAGAAGAAGGAAGTCGATAGAAGGGATATAAATAGAGGAAGATTATCAGAAATGTATAGCTGCATATAAATATATAATCTTTATTCTTATATGTACAGCATGGAATGATTAGACAAAGATATATGTCAAGGATAAGTCACTATTTTCAATGCCATTGTAACTTCGAACGGTCACTAAATGAATGATTGTAAGTTGAGGACTGCCTGTATTGCAGATCAGCACAATTCAGTCCTAGTAACCATGCTCTCCTCTGATTGCTTAAAATCAGCTTTCAAAATGGATTGAGCTTTTAACAAAAGATAATTTGTACATGGAAATGAAGTCTTTAGAAATTCAGACCATCTTGCTAAAAGTAATTGTTACTGAGCTGCTAACTTGAAATAATCATCCCATCAAATAAAAAAAGAAGGATCTGGATTCTGCTTGATAATGTTTTTTCATAGTTTAGCTGGTTAGAGACTAATAATGTCATAATCTTAAAACTTGAAAGCTTTGCTACCTAAGCCATTTGCTAGAACAGGAAGAGTGACAATTGCCATCTTACATTAACAGATGATTTTATGGCTTCTTTTTTAAAAAAAAAATATCTAAGAATTGCCATCTCTTATTTCTTTTTCCACCCTGTCCTTTCTGATAAAATTCAGTTAAATGGATTCACATGAGCAAGACATAATAAAGCTCAGCCATTAATTTATTGTATGACTTTTGACAAGCCTGTCTTTTGTAGATTCTGCTCTCCCCCCGCCCTTGGAGGTCATAATTTTGGGTTGTTTAACAGCAGCTTTTTCAAAGAGTGGACTATGATCCCAGAGAGATCACAAAGCAACAAATGGAAGTTTGCAAGAGAGATGTCCCTGGCTGGTTCTTTCCAAGCCTGATGCAAAAGTATGCAAATATAAAACAGCATGACAATTTCAGAACTCTTCCTGAAGTTTTGTTTTGTTTTGCTGTAGGCTTTCACAGCCAGTATCTATTGGGAAGTACTGGGCTTCAGGGTTTAGTGATATCAGATTTCCTGAAATTTCAGACCACTGTGGCTGACATCTTCAGAAGCAAGGTGGCTTGCTTTCTTGTTTACTTTTGTTGCCTTGCCTGGAAGGTTTTTATGTTCTTTTTAACCGTGGCTGTTATTTCTTAGGGCCATATCCAAATACAAGCTGGCTCCTTTCATTAATTCTACACAAAGAAAGAGTAATCTGACGGAGAGCTGATAAGGCAGGGGTCCCCCACTCCTGGGCCCTGGCCCACTAGCAGGCCACGGCCTGTTCGAAACTAGGCCACGGTTAAAATGGGCAAGCACATCCATGTGAAGCTCCACTCAAGCAAGCAAGCAGGCACGCACGCACGCACGCACGCACACACACACACACACACACACACACACAGCTCCACTCATGCAGGCGGGGGGGGCACTTGCTCTGCTCTGTGAAGCTCCATTCACACAAGTGGAGCTTCGCATGCAAATGCCTGCCACTTGTGCGAGTGGAGCTTTGTGCACAAGCACACTCCTCTCACACGCAAAGCTCCACTTGTGTGAGCGGACGGCTTGTGCACACATTCACCTGCCACTCACACTCCCGGGACTGCTGTGATATAAGGCATCATGCACTCTGGTTATGTTTCTATGCAGGAGCATCCATGGGTCACCAAGTATGGCAAGCACCCTCTTCCTTTAGAGGAGGACCATTGCACCATAGTAGAAGTAACTGAAGAGGAAGTGAAGAACTCAATCAAGACAATTCCTAGTTTACCTGCTGTGGTAAGTACTAGTGGTCTCACTATTAAAAGTTGCTCTCCTCCCTCTTTGTTTTTGTAGTTGATGGAGTGCTGCACAGAGCTCGGTGGGTTATTTTATTTTCTTTTTGTTCAAAGTTAATTTGGAATATGTCATACTTATGGCACTGCAGAAGATATCTGAAGTCTGTTTTCCTGTAGCACAAGCAACTAGAGGTAGAACCAGAAGCATTTACTGTAAGAGGAGGCTGGGCAGATGGCTTCATCTGAAATGAAAATGCTTGAATTTAAGCAGGGATAAGGAAGTGAACAAGTATCGCAGTGGGTAGAATAATCATGTTGCAAATAAGCCAGGCCTATCTGTCTTTACAGGTTGTCCTCAACTTACGATCACAAATGAGCCCAACATTTCCATTACTATGTAAAACAGTTGTTAAGTGAGCCTTGTCCTATTTTACGATCTTTCTTGCCACAATTGTTAATGAATCACTATAGTTGTTAAGTTAGTCACACCGCTATTAAGTGAATCTGGCTTTCCCATTGACTTTGCTTGTCAGAAGGTCACAAAAGGTGATCACATGACCCCAGGATACTGCAACCGTCATAAATGTGAGTCAATTGCCAAGCATCTGAATTTTGATCACATGACCATGGGGTTGCTGCAACAGTCATAACTGTGAAAAATGGTCATAAATCACTTTTTTCAGTGTTGTAACTTTGATCACTAAACGAACTGTTGTAAGTCAAGGACTACCTGTATTCAGAATCTTTGAATTGATACACATTTTTCTTTGTGATTCTGAGTAGCCATTAGAAATCAATACCCTTCCTATATCTATTGAGCAGAGGTTTTAATTCACACCACAAATGACCAAGCCATGTACCACTCAAAGCAGTAACACTCTTTCTGCAAATATCTTCAGACAGAGCAAACAAATCATGCTTCAGCTGAATGAGATAAACCTGAAATGTTGGTGACATTGAAAGTTACCTTGTTTGCCTTTATAATGTAGCTGGTTCTCCCTGATAGCTATTGTTTTTGGATAGACTAGGTTTAAACCAAGCCTTGTTTTTAATGTGAAATCGAAGGAGCAGTTACAAGTTTCATTTTGAGTAATTTGAAGCAATTTCAAAGCAACTTTGAAGTAATAAAAATCTAGGCTCCCAAAAGCTATTTAAAATGATTGAGAATGACATCATTTTTTCAACTGCATCACTTCTGTACTTCTGATTCTTCTCTTTCTCCATACGCCCAAGATTTTAGTGAAGGCCATGCTGAGGAAACGGTCATTTGCCAACCCATATGAGACCCAAACGAGGCGAGAGGAAAGATCTATGTCAGCTCCAGGAGACTTACTAATGTATGTGATTTTATACCCATACTTAATACTTGCATTTTCAAGTTAATCATGTCAATTTCTTGCATGTTCATAGCACAATTTATTAGCACTTGCAAATAAAGCTAAATTTGTGCTGAAACCATCCCAAATGATCAGCCACTGCATAACTAGCACAGATGATGTTACTCTAGTTTGGTAATGAAACAGCTGCAAGAAAACAACCAAGTTCAGAGAGCACCAAGAACCCATAGTTGAACCCCAAACTAGAAATATTCTATCAGAACTGCATATTAATATAGTGGAAAATAGCAATCTTCTCTTTAAAATAATACTTCTAGAAAAGCAGACAGCCATAACATTATATAACATTCTTTAGAAATGAAGTTTGCTGCCATTCAGAACAAATCCTGTCCATGTGGCCTACCAACTTTTAATTAATTTTGTTGATCACCTTTCAGTAAAAAAAAAAAAAAGTAAAGATGCAACCTGATAATTTAATTTATGGTAAATATTTTTGGATGCGTGCTGGAAATAGAGCTATGATAAAACCCATCTTTGCAGCCAAGCCATTATTTAGCCATTTGTTCAAGGATAAAAACAAAACAAAATCCTCAAAACAAGCTTCATCCTATATTCAGGATTTATTTAAAAAATGGTTAAAATGAAAGAGATCTTTGTGTATACTAAAATGACTGTTATGTGGAGGAAGCACTGCTCTAGAGCAGTGTTTGGCATTTTAAGGCATGTGGACTTCAATTTCCAGAATTCCTCAACCAACATGTCCATACATCCACATGTCTTGCCAAGTTTGAGAAATACTTGTCTGCAGACCAGGGTAAGAAGCCTGGCTAGAGAAGCTAAACATCCAGGAACCGTCTAAAACAGGGGTCTTCAAACTTGGCCCTTTCATGACTTGTGGACTTCAACTCCCAGAATTCCTCAGCTAGCGTGCCTGGCTGAGGAATTCTGGGAGTTGAAGTCCACAAGTCATAAAAGGGCCAAGTTTGAAGATCCCTGGTCTAAAAAGAAAGATTTGTTTGAAAGTGGAAGAGATTTTTCAAATAATAATTGTCATTATTGTATTATACAGTTGCTTACACAACACTATTGACACACGAGGTCTGAAATTATAGCCCAAGACCTGTTTCTGCTGCTCCGTGTTTATAATTTAAATTTTGGTGGTGAGGAAAAAAAGTGAGTAAAGAAAACCAAGAATAATAAAAGGATAAAAACAAGTAGCCCAGTTTATTTAATTAGATTTCATTCTGGCAGCAAACGTAGTCTAAAAAGGGATTAAACCAGAGGTTCCTGTGGCTTCTGGTTTGATCAAAAGAGCAAAACGTGGAAGTGAGATGTGGCTTTCCAAGTAGTATTAAGAGCTAAGCGAAAAAGTCTCAAGGAAGAATGAAGAGAAAACAGGCAAGTATTTTTCTTGGAGTTATAAGCATAAGTAGCATCCAAGAAGACCTTCCCAAATCTGTTTTAAAGGTGCATCATCCTAAGTTTTATGCTAAGAGGGCAGCAATATAAATAAGATCTGTGGATTCAGTAACGACAGAATTTTTAAAATGAGTGGATCTGTGGCATTCTGGAAAAGGATTAAAGGCCTCCAAAGTATTCAAGAAGAAAGGAAAACTTTCTTGGGACTACAGTAGAAGGTCTGCAGAGGGATGACAGCTTTGAGGAACCATTATACTGTAGCAATAAAGTTAGAGCTTTATTGTTCTGCCCAAACATTCAAAGCAGACCCAGCTGAATTTGCTATGTGTTCCCCTTTAATAGGTAGAATTCTATTAATGTGAGTAATATGAACTAAGTTTTTTTGTTTTCAAATCCCCAGTTGAACTTTCCTTCCTCCCCCTCCCTTCCAGCTTGGGTTGAAGAGGCTTTGAAATATGTGAAAATTAACATTTGTTGCTAGTTGGAAGAAGGATGATAGCGTTCATGTTCCTCTAACAGGAAATGAAGAGAAGAAGTAATTAGAAAAGCTTTCCAATTTTCACAATTTGTTTAATTAGCATGAAAAAAATATTCCTTTCTCCTCTCCTTAGAATTGCTTAAAGCAGTCTTTCCAGATGTATTGGATTTTAATTCACACAATCCCCTGTCAGAATTATCACTGACATAAAAAGACTGTGCCTCTTAGGCTTTAAATTTTGCATTAAGCGTTTAGACAACTGAGGTTATATTCTTTGATACAAGTGACAAATCAGAATTTCCCTGAAAACCAATACCTTGTTTTCAAGATATAAAAGCAATTTAAAATCATATTCCTTGGCGAAGAAATCAAAGAGGAGATAAGTTTTCTATTCTGATTGATGTACTTAGCCAATTTCCTCTGTGATTCGGTTTCTTCACAAGCAGGTTCTATGGTATATGTGGATCTTAGACGTGCTAGAACCCTTTTGAATATATTCAAAAGGGTTTTAGCACATCTAGGATCCACATATTTTATGAAGACTAATCTCCATTGTAAGTAGGATTTCCCTTTTAGATTCCCAACCATGCCAAATTAACAATGAATGGAATTTGCAACCCTCCAATGTTGCTGAACTACAGTTCCAAGCAGACTCATCCAGCATTATCAATGATGAGAAGTGCTGGGAATTGTAGTTTAGCAACATCTGAAGTTTTATATATTTCCTACCTAATTGGCTTGATATTTTGTAATAACCAGCCTAATTACTGCTGCTTCAGTAGATCATGGTTTAAATAATACTGGCTCATCTTGATAAGAAATGCAACTATAGCCACCATAATGAATAAGACCTCCAAAACTTGCAGAATTCTAAGTATGGTTAAGGTGTTAGTCTGAGAACATGAAAAGCCATTTTCTAATCCACCTTCAGCCATGAAAGCTTTGGGCCTTCCACTTTCAACCCAGCCTACTTTAGAATGTGATTTTTGTGGAAAAATAGGAGTAATATACAGTACTTTGAGTGTCTGAAAGAAAGAGGGAATATAAGTCAATCAAGCCAGTGAATAAAATAAATCAACCTCTGCCAGTGGCAAACAGCAAATTTCGTGAATTAATTTTGCCTCTTTGAGGGAATTATTATTTTGTCTTCCCATTACTCCAAAGTGCTACCTAAATTCTAAAGTTGCTTTCTTCAAAAGGCAACTGGGCTTTGTTTTTTTTCCTTGAAGACATTTTGTTTCTCATCCAAGAAGCTTTCTCAGTTCTGACTGAATGGTGGGGAATGGAAGGATTTATAAACAATTCTCCACCATTCAGTCAGAACTGAAGAAGTTTCTTGGATGAGAAGCTAAACATCTTCAAGGAAAAACAAAGTCCAGCTGCCTTTTGAAAAAGCACCTTTGGGACAACTATGACCTGAATGACTGAGAATATCCATAGACATTTATTTAAACTCTGTCCCTCATTCCCATGAAAATAGTTTGTTGTTTTGTTTTGTTTGGCTCTGCTGCATTTTGACATCCAGATTTCTAGCATGCAGTCTCATTATTTGATTGTTTTGTCCCCTTTTCTTTCATTTTGCTCTTTGCTTCCAGGCGCGGTTTTCAGTTAAGCCCCTCTGTGTATTTGCATCCAGCTTTAAGGTAACTTGATGTCTGTGTTCCTCCCATTGTGCAATGAAATCCTTTATTCCCCCCACCCCCATCCCCCCAGTGAATTTGTGGTGCTGTATGTGTTATACCATGTTACTTACTTCTAGAGCCGAGTGAGCATGTGCTCTCCCATGTGGCTTTTAATGGGCATTCACAAGAGTCCTCCGTTGTAATTTTTCTTTTCATCGTCCCTTTTCTTTCCTTCTTTCTTAAAAAAAAAACACTTTGGTGCCATTGATCAGTGGGATTTGCAATTTTATTCCTATTGTCTAGAAGCAGTGTTTCTCAACCTTGACATCTTTAAGATATGTGGACTTCAACTCCCAGAATTCCCCAAACAGCACTCTGGGAGTTGAAGTCCACATGTCTTAAAATTGTCAAGGTTGAGAAACACTGCTAGACAGGAGGGAACAGCAATGGTGCCATAGAGCTTATTCTACCAAGAATAGCGCACAATGAAGGGGACGTCATGGGTGTTTAAAAATACCTTCTTTTGGACAAGCTGTCAAGACTGGCTTTAAAAGAAGCCTAAGAAGGCAGAATGAGGTCTTTGAATAGGGTCAACCACAGTTGCCACCTAGACAACAACAGTGAACAGCTCATGGTCCCTCCTTGCTCATAGAACCATGGGGCTGGAAGAAACCTTGGAGGTCTTCTAGTCTAGTCCAACCTCCTGCCCAAGACTGGAATCCTTATATCATCCTAGACAAATGAGTATCCAATTTTTTCTTGAAAACCTCCAGCGATGGGTCACCTACAACTCTGGGAGGCAAGCTGTCCCATTGTTAGTTGGTCTCAGTCAGGAAATTTCTCTTTAGTTCCAGGTAGGATCTCTCTTTTAATGAGTGTCCACCCGTTGCTTCTTGTCCTGTCCTCAGATGTTTTAGAGAATAAGTCAACCCTCTCTTCTCCCTGACTGTCCCTCAAGTATGGAAAGACAGTTATCATGTCACGCCTAATCCTTCTCTTCATTGGGCTAGACATACCTAGTTTCCTTAACCGTTCACCGTACGGTTTAATCTCCAGACCTCTTATCATCTTTCTTCTCTGCACACTTTCTAGGGTTTCAGCATCTTTTTTGAATTGTGACAAGCAGAACTTTTTTTGCCTATTTTGATCTGTTTTTCTTTCTGTCTCCCACAGTGCTGCTTTTGATAAGTTGAACTGTTTTTTTTCTTTTTGCGTGAAGACATATGCAAAGAAGGAATTAAACAGTTCTGCTTTCTCCCTGCTGCCCACCATCATCTTGCCATCTTCTCCCATTAGTGGACCTATCGTTTCCTTGACTTTCTTATTATTCCTTACTGATTGAAAGAAACTTTTTCTGTTATTCTTGCAGATCTGAGCTGTTTGCTGATATTTTGTTCTACTTATGAACCCCTCTTTCCATTTTTTTATACTTGTCATTTTTGTCTCTCAGTTTGTCAGAGAACTCTTGATGCAACCCTGCTGGTTTTATCTGAGGTGTCTTTTTTTTCCCTTTCTCTGTGGTATTGTGTTTGATTGAGGTTTAATAATCTCATTTTCATAGTTTCCCAAGCATCTTAAGTTGTTTTTCCCTTTAGGATTTCCATCCATGGAATCCTTCCTAATTTCTTTCTTAGTTTGTTGAGGTTATGTTGAATTCTAGTATGACATGGTCACTCTAGGTCCCTTTGAGCTCTGCTCATTTGAGACGTTTTTCATTTCAGCTGAAATAATCATGATTACTTGCGTCTCTACACTTATCACTTGCAAAGTTATTGCAAAGTGACATCTGTTTACATATGCATATTTTATGCAAAGTAGCAGCACCTGCTTTTTTAAGGCAGTGATAGGCTTTTCTACCTGAGATAAGAAGACAACTCTCTTCCACATATCTCTTGGATTATGCAAGCAGACCAAACCATCTGTTCAAAATGATGCCCTGGAAACACTAAAAATTTTCTAACTATTGTGGTGGTATCCCTAACCTTCTGTCTACATGTGAGCTGCATTCTCTACCAAACCTACTAAGACTCAACCAACCACCCAATACATGTGAACTGCTTAAAGTGTCTTAAAAATCATTTACAGCAAGCTGATTCTGAGTGGTGACAGGGGGAAGATGTGTGGCCCAGTAAACCAAATTGTTTCTATTCCATGGCTATCTCTCAAAGGTAGTATGGCTAGCATGCACACATAGTAGGACGGGATAAATATAAGAAGGTCATCCAGATGGGTTAATCAGAACAATTGCAACATCATGTTCTAATTTACACTGTGTCTACCTTTTTCTTTGTCTTGCCTTTGCAATGTAGTAGCCGAGGGTAAATAAGTTGTGGCTCTATTTTTTCTTAGGGCTGCCCAACAAGCTGCCAATGCTTTGCTGAGATTGGTATCTATTATTATATGCATGATAATAAATTTTGCATATTAACAAATCTTAAGCAAACCTAAAAACCCAGGAGCCCAAGAAGAAAAATACAGGAAAGATCTGTTTAGGAGCCCTGATGGTGCAGTAGTTAGAATGCAGTATTGCTAACTCTGCCCACAGCCTGGATTTCAATCCTGACTGGCTCAAGGTTGACTCTGCCTTTCATCCTTCTGAGGTCGGTAAAATGAGGACCCAGATTGTTGGGGGCAATGTGTGTTGACATTGTAAATCGCCCAGAGAGTAAAGCACTATGGGGCTGTATATACAGTAAGTCTAAGTGCTATTTCTATCTACAACATACAGTGTAAGGACGGTAACAGCCTATATAGGACAGATAGGCAAGACTATCAGAGTGCATCCATGAACATCAACCAGCAGTCAGAAGACAATGAAAACTCCTTAGTCTCACAACACATGGAAGCTATAATTAGCCCTAAAACCCTATTTTAAACTCTCAAAAACTAGCAAGCTGAAGAGGTGATGGAGGGGGCAGTCCATCCTGGAATGTTGCCTGTTAATACTCTGTCTCACAGGTTGCTTGGCTGATATACAATTAGATAACACTTTTCTGTTCTTCCTGCCCGAGTCTATACATCATGTAGGAAAGCTGATAGTCCCTGCATTTACTTGTGTCAGACACCGTTTCATCATTCTTTAACTACACAAGAGCACCTTCAGAGCTTGTCAGCCATCTGGTGCAAAGGCTGGGTTTATCACTGTGGGGAGAGTGTTTAATAAGAACCAGTTCTTTCTTCGTATGTTTCCTAGCAATATGTGAAGAGCTGTGCAGGAAGGAAAGGTCCAGTTAGTCCAACAACCCGGAAGCCCAGAAAGATGAAAATAAAAACCCTTGTATGCCATAGCTTTTCCAAGATAAACCTTAATGGATCCCTTGCCATAGTTATATTCCATTCTCCTTTTAAAACCATTGACGGCATTGAGGTGTTAACATACCACTAAGTCTATCAAGCTCACTATTTTAATTCTGGCTGTGTTCTCACAACACACTTGATCCGGTCAGATAAAAATTGAGCAGCTGTATTTTCACAACGTTGCTGAATGTAGCTGGCATTAGTCATTATTAATTTTGTTTGTGTGCGTGGCTTGCTGTGTTGTGTGAATCCAAATCAGTTGACAGCTTTATGGTTCAGCACATTGTGTGAGTCCCAAAAAATAAATTATTTTGGTAACTGAATTAAATGTGTTATGTAAATACAGCAGGTAGTGACTGACTCCTCAGATTTTTTGGCAGTACTCTTTTTCCTATACCCAGAGATGTCTGGGACTGAACATTAAGCCGGCTGGATCCAAGGTGTATGTGCCACTGTTGAGCACATTAATAAAGAACGATTCTAGTTCTCTTGGTTTCAAATAACATTCTTTTCTATCGAACGGCACTTGTCAATAAATGCTTGTCCAAATGTAATTTTCTTTCGTTTGTGGAACCAATAAGACAGTCTTTCTCAACTTTTATGATGTGTTGTTTTCAATTCTCACAATTCCTCAGTCAGCAATAATGTACGTGCATCTGCAGTTAACCTCTTGTATGAAGGCAAATCACTTACAACAGGGATTGTTATACATTGCTTCTTGATCTTGTGATGAAATGTTCTTCCTCTTGATGATGTGTAGAAACCAAGGAAGCCGGGAAGGGCTTAAAGACCCAGAACTGCCCGATGTGAATGAAGATGACACGACCTCTTGAAACTCCTCGAATCACGCTGACTAATCATCCAGCTAGAGCTGCTGCTGTAACTATTGTAATTGGTGGTGTTGTCTTGCACGCCATGCTGTTCTCATCAACCGGGGTTTGTGATCTGTGGGAGAGAAAGAAGACACAAGTACAACACTAAGGACTAAAAGAGCAAACGCCAATCCAAGAAATGGTCCACCAAATAGCTAATTCTTCATACAACCTGCTGCCTGCATTTTTTTTCACGATGTAAGACATTTTGATGTTGTACACTTGATATGTGCCTCTTCCAACTGTGTTTTATGTTTTGGTGTGTGGTATGTGTCAATTTTGCTGAATGTTCCCTGCTAGGAACTGCTCGGTTAAAACTTCTATTCCAACTCTAATTTTGGCATGAGCTGTCGAGCAATCAGATTGCAAGCCCAGTGTGTTATTCAACACATTAGAAACTTTGCACCTCTCTAATTGCTGGGTCAGGGTTGCCGTAACTTTGGCTTGTTTTGAAATGCAACAGCAGTACAGTAGCTCTGTGGTCACTTTGCTTCCGCATGATTCTTAAGTTGTGCATGTCTGTATCTGTTAGAAAATGCCCAGTGAGATTGCTAAAAACTAGAAAGGCTTCTGGATTTCTTTAGATATTTCCCCCAATTCTGAATTATCTACTCATTTACAGAAAGACGTTCCAAATTAAGAGAGCTAAGATGACAGTTTCCCTTTGTCTTCTGCCTTCCTTCCTTCCTTCCTTTTTGTACATGGAAAAGGGCTAAAGCTCAGTGGGAGGGCATAGATTTTTGCATGCTTTTGGACCAATTCCTAGATCCATCTCCGTATGGAATATGGAACTGGGAAGGCCTCTTCTGTGAAATGATGAATGCTGCTGCTGGCCAGAACTGACAGTACTGTGCCATATGATTCATGATTTGACTTCACAAAAGTTAGCATCATACGTTCCTTCCAAATAATATTCAAAAAAGCAATTCTGATGTTACATTAGTAATGACTCTGTCATGTGAGAATTCTGCCCCTAGAAGATAGTTCTGGATTCCGTGTTCTCATAGAACTGGGTATGTTTGGAATTTTGAGCTAATTTACTTCTATACCTGTTGCTGCAAAAGAAAAACTGCAAAATTTCCATTTTCAAATATGACATATTCTGGAGTTCTGGAGGTTGAGGAAAAGGGTGGTCTTTTTTCCCCATTTATTCTTGATTTCTCTAACTCCCTTCATCGCAACTCAAAGCTCTCGTGACGGATTTCACTCGCTGTCCTGTCAGTAAACCTCACCTTGATCTTTTCTAGTCTAAATATTTAGAAGAAATTGCAGAAGGAAAATGGTGCATGGGCCCTAAGTTTCTTTTGTGGAATTGTTGATCAGCATGCAGGAGCCTTGTCATTACAATATACAAAAAAAACCCCTTGATTCACTCATACACATAATCAGGATCAAAATTAATGGAATGTAGATGGAGCTTTTCTAGTTCCACTAATACAGGACTTTTCAACCTTTTCACCCATTGTACCACTTTTAGGATATGGCAATATCCGAGTACCACCAGTCGCCTAGCAAGGTGTCAAAAACTTGATGACCAAAAAGAAAAAAAGGAAAAAAGTGATAAAGTACAGGTAGTCCTCAAGTTACAACAGTTCGCTTAGTGACTGTTCAAAGTTACAATGGCCCTGAAAAAAGTGCCCCCCAAAGCACAGCCAAGCAAGACACCTGCCTGCCTGCCCGGCGGCGCTCTCATTCCCCTCCCCCACTACTACTTTTCTAGGATGGTCGCGTGCCACCTGCCAGGTGCCAAATGTACCACAGGTGGTACCCGTACCACTGGTTGAAAAGCCCTGCACTAATAGACATAATTAATTGTAGAGATGCTCACTAAACCAGATTCACTCATTCTTATGTTTTGAAATAAACACACATGGATATCCAGTACATATAATATGCTATTGCAAAATGTCAAATTTAATCACTGGGATGCATTCTCAAAAGTTTGCCTTTAGCTATGAATCTCAAGCACAAAATACTTCCAAGGCCATTTTCATGACAGAGGGCCTGTCCTTTCAGCAGATAGATGCCTTTCTGCCTTGATTTGTATTTTTTCAAAGAATCTGTCACTGATTTCATATTGATCTGCCAATAGACACCCAAAAGTTCTGGGCAGGGATGAGAGGTAAATGTGGAAGAAAAAGAATCTTTTCCAAGTCCAAGAGACATTTACAGTATAGCAAACCCTTTTAGTTCCTGTCAGAATTTTAATTCCTGCAACAATTTTAGTCCATCACTTGATAAAGAGCACACTTTTGCACTATGCATTGTAAATCTATAAATACACTTATTCAGAATCAGACTCATTAGAACTATGAAGAATGCAGGGGGAATGAGAGATAAGGAATTTCATTCTCTACTGGTTATCAAGATGTCCTCTCTGGGTTTTACACAAGCTGCACTGGTGTTGAAGTTCTCATTCTCACCAGAATAATCTGGGCTGCATTGGTACCAAGTTGATTGAGACTAAAGGGAATATTGTTGGGGCAGAATTAAAAATGATGATGCCACTGATTCTTCCACTTTTTCACATCTCCCCCCCCCACACACACACACACAATCTCTTGTCTTATACCCTATTTTCTGACTCTTCCTTCTTATACTGAAATGTGGAGGAATTTATTATCTATACTAGCGTCCAAATTGACTGTTTGCAAAGAGAGTTTGAACTTCTAAACAAGGGCTTTATGAAATTATGACAAAGACTACATGTGACACAAGGGCTATTGGTTGCCCAGCCCATTCTACCAAATCTGGGATTGTCTTCTCAGAGGTGTTTAATCTGGTAACCAAGTTAATCCATTTTGGGGTTTGCACAGCTAAAGGAATTATGAACTAACAGAACAGACTGAGTTCTGTTAAAATTAAAAATTCAGCAAACCTTAGTATATTGTGTGAATGCACAATTAGGTTTAATTAAGTAGGTTACACGTACATGTGAACACAGCCCAGTATTTTTTATGTTTTCCTCTACAAAGCAAGAAAAACATTAAAGGAGACCTTCCAAACAACTTCTGTTGCTTCGTTATAATTCTGCCAATCTAATCTCTCTTTGAAATTTACACTCAATATATCACAGCTTTTACAATGATAAACTTAAATCTTGAGCATATTTAGAATTGGCCACCAAAACGGTTAGAAAATAATGGCAAAGACTTACAAAAAGGAGAGCAGATTCCGACCTATTTCTGAGTCATGTGCTTCGATATGTACAAATCCAGGTCATTTTGAAATAATCCTATTTTTGTATGATTGATGGCTTAAATTAAGGGATGGAAAGATGGACTTTATGTGTCTTGTCTTTATTTATAAATCTGTCCCATATTCTCATCAGCAAATTCAGAATTATTTGTTTCATTATGTTTAATATTTTAAGGCATTATGATAGGCAATTGGGTCTGTGTACTTAGCTAAGAAAATTTGGAGATGTTTAACTGGCAACTATGGTTAATTTAGTAAAAAAATGTAACTTAAAAATGAGATCTTCATGTGCCTCTGTAAAAAAAATAAATCACCTGTTCCCAAAATGTCTTTCATTTTTATGTAAATTTTATGAAGCAGTTGCTGTCCTTTCCCTCCTACATTAAAGTTGATTTCAACAATTATTCAAACTCATAACAAATCATTTGATTTTCTGTTTCTCAATTTGCAAGCTATTGCAACATTGACTTTTAATTCTATTTAATCCTACTTTTTACTTGTACAATACCTGTGTAACAGCCTTCCTCAGTTTGTTGTCTTCTAAATGGATTATACTTCAACTTTCTAGAAGACCAGAAAGAACAAATGTTCTTGTTGTTGTAACAGAGCACTTAGGAAACCACAAAACTGTCAGTTTGGTGTGTGTCATGGGCAAAAGTCTTCAGCTGGTTATTTAACAGCATGTTTGTCAGCACTTGAATAAGAATGCCACAATTAACAGGATTTGGTATGGTTTGTAGCCAATCAATTCTGCCAAACTAAACTTACCTCTTTTTTTTAATCGAGTTACTAGTTTAGTAGATCAGAATACTGTAAACCAGTGTTTCTCATCCTCAGCAACTTTAAGATGTATGGACTTCAACTTCCAGAATTCTTCAGAGTACATCCTGGCTGGAGAATTTGGGGAATTGAAGTTTACATGTCCTAAAATAGCAGAGGTTGAGAAACACTGTGTAGATCAGGGGTCTTCAAACTTGGCCCTTTTATGACTTGTAGACTTCAACTCCCAGAATTCCTCAGCCAGCGTGCCTGGCTGTGGAATTCTGGGAGTTGAAGTCCACAAGTCATAAAAGGGCCAAGTTTGAAGACCCCTGGTGTAGATATATGGTACCTGGAATTCAGCAAAGCTTTCTATACAGTCTCTCTTGATAATCTCTGTAATAAAATGGTAACATACAGGCTGGATGATGCTACTTTTAGATGAACTCACAATTGGGTGAATGACCACATCCAAACACTGCTCATTAATAGCTCCATTTCAGCCTGGAAAGAGTCAAATGCCACATAACTGTGTCTAGGTCGTGGGATCAGCACAGTTACCATAACATGACTGAAGAACTTGGAAGGACATATCAAGCTTGCAGATAACACATTGTTGGGAGGGGAAGTTGTTACTTTACAGGTATTCCTCACTTAGCAACTGTAATTGGCACCGGCAATTCCATTGCTAAGAATTGCGGTCACTAAACAGGCAATCATATGAGAGCAATAGACTTATGAGGTCACTTCCCATTCTGTCATTAAACAAGTCGCCTCAGTCATTCAAGAAACCATTGTGTGGCTGCTATTTGTAATTTTACTTCCTCATCCTCTATTTAATTCNCCATAGGAACTATGATGATCAAAATGCAAGGATTGGTCACAAAGCTGTTTTTTTTAACACCATAGTAACTTTTAATGGTTACTAAACAAGGCGGTAAGCAAGGACTATCTCTAAAGCAGAAAGAAGATTAAAGAAGAACTAGACAGGCTTGAAGAGTGAGCTGAAATAAATAGAATGGAACTTAATCGAGAGAAACGTATAGTACTACATCTGGACAGGAAAAATTAGGGCAAAATTTAGCTTGGGGGAGATCTGGCTTGGCAATAGTACAAGTGAATAAG